CTGGCCTCTAGATTGGTTGGGACTACAGCTCCCAGAATGCCGGGCAAAGATTAATCAGGAGAGATGTTCAGCATTCCAATCTCTTGTTCAATCTACCTCAACCTTGAAGATATAACAAGATGTTATATATCCTCTTATTACATACACACGTTGACTTTATGTACTAAAATGGGAATGGTAGGCATGCCACCATGAACATTTGAAGGTGGAATATGAATCTCATATGGGTATGTAATTTATATTATTTGTTGTACATTGGCTGGATACTTTACAGCTTCTGTAAAAGAACATAAATTGTATTTTTGGTAGCTCTAACAACAGACTTGCAGAAGTATGTGGGAATGGGTTAATAAAGGATGTCCCAAAATGTTGCATACTTCTGCAATCCTTCAATAATTCTTGTCCAAAGCCAATCCAGATATATAGCAAAACTGAGTCTGGAAAAGAGGAAGCTTATCCAGATGAAATAGGATCCAAATATTTGAAGTGTTGAATTCTTTCCAATAAGAGCCCTATACAGATCCCCTTAGAATATCCAAATCTGGATATTCTTAGGTTATGCAACATTTTAAATTTAATCTAAAAAAAGGGTTCAAAGCATTCAGGGACACAAACATAGCCCTTGTTTCAACTCCTTAAAGCAGCTGCATCTTTTCTCAGGGCCACACCAATGCTGTGGAGGGAAACTAAAATCCTGGGAAAGATGCAGCTGCTATGAGGTGCTGGAGATGTAAGTTACATTTCACTCGGGCTGAATTCCAAAGGGCTGCAGAATTTTATCTACTACGTCAAATACATTTTTGGCAAATCTTTCTTCTCAAGGAAAGTGATGCTACTAAAATATCCATAGAATCATTGCAGCAGTGTTCATGTCAAGTGACAAATAACCTAGACATTTTGATTAGTAAGATATTTAAGTATGGGTTGGGAAGAGGCATTATGATGTGAATCCATACAGCAACTGGCTTAGAAACGGCAGTCAAAGAGAACTCATCAACAGTTCCTTATCAATTTAGAGTAGCAGGTCAAATGTGGCCTGGAAATCTTCCACTCACAATTTAGATGGGAAGGAGAGATGTATATCATATTTGCAGATGACTCAAAGCTGCAATAGTTTTGAAGACAAAAAAAAAAACTTCTAAATTTTCCTAATGGCTTCAATCAATCAATCAATTCAATTTACTGTGGTTGTAAACCAGTACACATGGGAGATAAGTTAGAGAAGTGGGCTGAAAATATCAGAATGAGATTTAATCAGGAAAAAAAGAACATTCAGATGCATTGCTGTAGGATGTGGAGATATGGGAAAAGGATGTCTGCATTGCAGTTTAAGATGAAGTAGTTTGATGGCTATTACAAAGGCAATGACATTTTAGGCTGTATTAATATCATTTTCAAATCATAGTAAGTAATACTTTATCATATCATGTACTAGTCAGGCACCACTTTGATTACTGTGTCCAGTTTTAGACATCAGACTTTAAGAAAATTTCAGAGATTTTATAACAAAGACAAGAAAGGTTAATAAGGATGATCAGGGGACTAGATACAACTTCCTTTGAATCCAGAAAACACAATTGTGACAGCAGATTATAGCACTTTTCAAATATCTGAAGGAGAGTCACATAGAAGAAGTTAAGATATGTTCTCTGAAATTGAATAATAATCTTTGATAGTGGAACTAATTGCTGAAAGACAGTAAAACAGCACTGCACATAGCCAGGGGTCCTATGCGTCTGTTATTTGGGGATGGTTACATAGGTGTTCCATTTATATTTCTACAAATGTAACCCTCCTGCTAGGGGGCATTCAAACACCAAAAGAAGTTGGACAACCAATCAGCATTCAGGATGCGGACGTCCACACAACACTGCTGGGATTTGGGAAATGTCTGTGTCAGTCTGCCTGCAGCAGCCATTTCAGAGGTGGGTTCCTACCAGTTCGCACCTATTCGGTAGAACCGGTTTGTCAAATCTTCTGAACCGGTTAGAAGAGGTTCCACCAGTGGACCCGGAAAGCAGGCCACACCTACAGAAGAGGTTCCAAACTTTTTTGAAACCCACCACTGGTCCTTGGATATGATTATTCTACACTATCCGGTCACATGGGTGGCAAGCCACTCCCATCTGGTCACATGGGCAGCAAGCCACTCCCACAAAGGACACCACACCCACAGAGTAGGTTCGAAATTTTTTTGAAACCCACCACTGAGCCATTTGCAACCTACACGTAACCATCAATTCTTTCACAATGTAGGTATGAGGCACAGCTAACAGGCGGTTGTGGACAACTCTAAATCAGCCTTTAGACATGTTCAGCTGGAGGTCTGACAAGCATCTGTAGTGAAACCATGTTCAAATAAGCTACAATTTGCTGGATTTATATATTCTAAAAAAAGAACAAATAATGCTTCACCTTTTCTTATGAGATTACACAGCCTCAGCTCTCACTTGTACTGTTATCACAATAAACAGTGTCAAATGTCTGTGAGAAATTCTGGTTGATGGGATCCATATCATACAGAGCATTTTCATGGAAAAAAAAATCTGATGTCAAAATTTACTCTTAACACATCTGATAGAATTTACATGACAAAAATTGAAGGGATAAAGCCATTGTACCCATGACGACTTTAAAGCTGTGTTTACATGCATAAGCCATGCTGTATTTTTTTTTACAGTATGTTTGGTTAACATGCGAACCATCCACTAGTTTTGCTCACACTTGGTTCATACATAACTGAAGCCAGAATTATGGTTTATAAGTAAATAAAATAAAAGAACTAGTTTGGTATAATGGCTAAGGTGCTGTTAGAAGAAATGTCCTCCTGGGTTCAGCTCCAAGTGGGGAAAAAGACACTGAAAACATGGAGGCTGCTTGGAAAGATGGTTTAATGGTGGACAGGACCACATGGCTTGAGGTCCTGGGGGAAAAGGTGATCACATGCTTCCAGATGTTGGCTAAAGAAGAGGGAGCAAGATGCTGAAAGTTGCTGGCTTTATACTCTCCATTTGGCCTCACCTCTGTTTCCTGTTCCTGTGTAAGAAATGTATTCTGATTGGTTGTCAGACTCCCATGGGGCCATGCAGGGGCAACTCTCTAGGCCAGGAGTAGTCAACCTTTTTATACCTACCACCCACTTTTATATCTCTGTTAGTAGTAAACATTTTCTAACTACCCACCGGTTCCACAGCAATGGTGATTTATAAAGTAGGGAAGTAACTTTACTTTATAAAATTTATAAAGCAGAGTTATAGCAAACCTCTACTGCCCACCATGAAAGCTGGAACGCCCACTAGTGGGCGGTAGGGACCAGGTTGACTTACCACTGCTCTAGGCTGTGTTTTGAGTCTAAGTTGGTTTGAGTTCCCAGATGTCACATGGTGAGTTTCTCCTATCATTGTTCTGCAGAGTAGCTTGCATTGGCAAGCTAATCCTATCATTGTTCTGCAGAGTAAACTAGCTCAGGGCCCCTAATGGCCCATTGAGAAAGGTGAGGCTATTAAGAGTGAGTCTGTTTCCTGCCTAAAAACATGTTTCTCCATTTCTTATCCAGGGAAATATATTCTGTCTTTTCAATATTTCCTAGGATATTTCATTCTTCTAGGAGAGGGGTGGGTGCTAACTTCCTACAGTGCTGACCTAGAAAACAGAAGGCTGAGTTTGGACCAGTCTCTCTCAGCCCAATCCACCTCAGAGGGTTGTTGTGGGGAAAAGAGTAATGGCATTTTTGGTTATTAAGGCTGAGCAGGTACAGATTAGAAGGCAAATGTTATCTAGTGCACACATGAGCATGCACACAGCCCTGGTTGGCAGTTCCATAAATGAAATGTATTTTTTGTTGGAATTTTATTGTAGCTCTGAAGAATATGCTGAGAAAAGATGGAGCTACTTAAGGAGCTGCAGGGAAATTGTGAGTGAGTGTCTTGGCATATTCCCCCCTCCTCCCTTCACATTATGTCTTGCCTAGTTGTAGTTTCAGGTTGCATCGATACACTAGACACCCTATTCAATCACAAGACTTTAAATAGTAGCTGTAAGCAAGCAGAATGCAAGTATGCATGACTTGCACTTCCTTTTCTCTTTTGCATTTCTGACCACACCTGGAACAAGGATTTATGGATTTCCTTTCACCGTATTAACTCCACAAGAAGGTACATCTCCATGAATCTCTCCGAAGGGTGAAATGTGTGCAAGAATGATGGCCTCCAACGTTACATTAAAGAAGAAACCTAGCATCGTAATCTGAGGTCTTTCCATCTCCCACCTTTTCTCCATATAGCATCCAAAGCAATCTTCACCGCTTCGGCCAAGACTTCGCCACTACTTGGAACCCGCGGCACGCCCCTAGCGGGCCGGTGCGCGATGTCACCAAGGAGAATGCGGGTCCACCTTTCAAGCCTGCGCGTGATGTCAGAAGTTCATCGTAGCCAAGGATCCTGGGTTGTAATCCCGGGTCACTCTTCCAGGAGGGCTTTATGCAAACCAAGGAGGACTGTTGCAACTTCGGCGGTTTCTTTTAACTCAGATGACCTGAGGAGAAAGACAGGAGCGGGGAACAGCCCTCTCCTCTCTTCTTTTTGCGTATAGTTGATCGGGCCGCCAGTGAGCAGCGTTGGGGCGGCAGTGGCAACAGCAGAAGCGGGAAGAAGAGATGCCGGTTTGGGCAGGGAACGCGCGTGAACTTTGAATGCCAAAAGATGCAGGGAATTAAGTAGCCCGCCGTTTCGGAGGCGCGTGGGAAAAGCCCGTTGTCTCCCGCTGCGTCAAGAGGGAAAGCGGCGCAATCCCCCCCCCCCGGTTATTGAACCCCACCCCGGGGTAGCCCGAGCCAGACTGGCGGGGACGGGGACGAGCGCGCGTGCTGTGGCCAAAGGAAGGCGGCGGCTCTTCTTCCTCCCCGATTGCAGTAGCAGCTCGGGGAGCCGCCAGGCTGCGCTCTCGAGCCGGCTCGCAGTCTGGCTTGCGGCCCCGGGCTGCCGGGCTCCGGAGCGCCAGAGCCTCCCGGGGAGCAAGCAGTGCGAGCGGTTGGTCCCGGGACAGCAGCAGCTGCTGCAGCGGGAGGAGCCGGAGCGGCTCGCTGCTGCAGCGGGAGCCGCCCCGGCTCGGAGCTCTTGCCTGTCCGAGTTGCGGAGATAACACCTGGCGCCCCTCAAGCAGGGGTGGCTTCGGTAGGACTTCGGCGGCCAGAACGACGCGCCGCCGCGGCTGCCCACACGACTCCTCTCCGCGCCCGGCATGACTTGCAAGGGTTCATCGAGCTGGGCACTTTGGGTGGCCCCGTTGGCTACGCTGCTGTCTCTGCAAGGTAAGGGAAACCTGAGGAAGCGGCGGGGGGGGGGGGAGACCAGGGGGTTCTGGGCGGGCGCCGGAAAAGTGGCAGAAACCTGGGAGGCACAAGACGCACATCTTTGTCTTCGGCAGTTTTGTTCCCTGCGCTGGATTCGAACTCTCAACTTTAGCGCCAAGGAGCGCGCTAGGCTGCTGCTCTGGGGTCGGCTGAACAGCAGTTAACCGCAGCATAGAATATGACACTTCTCCGAATAGTTTTCTTCTTTTGCTGACTGAGAAGTTGCTGTAAAGTTGAAGGAGGAGGGTCCGGGTGGGTTGTTTCGTCTTACCCAAATATCACTAGACGCCGGCCGCCTTCATTATTTCGCAGAATAACCAGATCTTATGTTTTAACACTCTATTCCCAAGGGGAAAAAAAGAGCAACGTGCACCAGAGAGTTATGGTACAACCAGTTTCTCTCTGCACAGGAGGGGGAAAATAAGTGAATCTACTATGTGACCTTTTAAGGAACAATCTATCCAAAAGTGATGTTAGAGAACTAGAAATGCTTTACTGTATTTGGCTCTCTATTCACTCCCCCCTCTAAATGCAGGAGTATAAAAGTTGATAGAGATAGTATTTCTAGCAGGTGTGGATAGCATTTATTATTTTTCATTTTTAGAACTTGAATATAATTTTTTAAACCCACAATACAAGATATTTGTATTTAAGTTTATAAAACACTCATTTTCATATCCCAAGATTCTTTTTCTCAGTTAAACGACATCTATTCTTAAACATGCCATTATTATGTTTTGTTAATCCTACATCTCAGTTCCATTGCCCTAGCTTAAAGTAATAAAGTTTGTAAAACTTTCTACTCCGGCCTTGTAGAGTTTCTCTTGAAAGTGTGCAAGATGTACGATGCTGGAGAACTTTATCAGAAAAACAATTGCTAGTTATTTAGTAAAACTAGCAGTCAAATCTTCTCTGTGTTGCAGAAGTAAGTCTGGTAAAGACGATGAGAAATTATAATATTCCCACATTCCTAAAATTGAAGCCAGATTTTATTTCATAACTTACCTTTTCGTACAGCTTTTGTGCTCATTGTTTCCATTTTGCTATGACCAAATCTTGTGGACATATTTGAAAAATATATTTAATGAAATAAATTATTTCTGCAGACTCCTTGCTCATTTTTTAAAAAATTATAGATTTTAGTACAGGCATCTAGTGGCCCAAATGCATTCTGGAAATATTGTTTTTTTGTTGTGTCCTTATGATATTTTCATCTCAGTTTTTCTCCATGAATGAGATCGTTTTATATAGTATCTTTCCCCTAGTTTCTGACACTGTTCAAGGGCATCTTCAATGTGTATAAAATACATTAAGCTTTGTTACTTTTAACCTTGGAGGGAAGTCACATGACTGGTGGTGACTGGGAACAGAAGCAGTAGAGTTGGGACAGGAATCAGCAGCTCAAGAATGGGTGGTCAGCTGAGGGAAAGCTTATAATCAGTTAATTCAGTATTGACTGTTCTATTATTATTCAAAGACAATGGATTTGAAGTCACTGAGATAAAAAATGTATTGCTTTATTTTAGTATTCTCATATGTCCATAGGACAGACAGTACAGCTACATGGAATGCCTTTGTAGAAGAGTAAAAACTAAACTCCAAGGACTTTTGCCACCCATTAATTTAAACCATTGAGATTTGAGTGTAAGTAATGTGTTTAGGATGAAAGCTCAGTTTACAAAAACTTGAAAATGCCTGGAAGCCACATTAAATGTCTAAATGAAGATAATTATGTCTATTAATTGCTTATGGTTCATCTTGATAATTCTTAAAGGTCACAGTGAATGTTTAGAGAAAATACATCTTTTATTCTCTCTTTTTGTCATGTGATTTAGTTATCCTAGCATGTGGTGTATTCATGGTGGTGTTGACATTAGCAACGCTTGAGGCTGGAAAGAATGAGGGCCCTGCAATTAGGATCCAGATGCAGGACACTGCCAGCTGTGAGGCAATTTGTTTTGTACATTTGCCAGTGCACCTTCTTCTGTGCCTGTAACATTCTCTCTGTTTTTGCTAGGATTTTCTTAAGTGCTTTGAAAAATTAGAGATCAATCTTGTAGCCAGTATTCCTAGTCTGTATAGCAAGCATGTCCACATTTTTCCTTCTCATTGGCAAGTCACTGCTTCTTGAAGCATCCTTTGCTCCCTCAGTCAAGCAGGTATCATTTAGTTCAAGATTTGTTTTCAATTAGTGTGTAGCTCAAAGGGAGTTGATGTAGGACATCCATATCAGTTCTATAGGCCGTAAAAAATTAGCTTTGGATAACCAGTCCAAAGTATGTAAAGTATGTTATTTGAAACAGATTTGTCTTTGGAGCAGGAGGCTTGCCCATAGCAGTGCTGGCTTGAATGCAGAGTTTAGTTTGCATTAAACCAGAGCACCCAGGCCTGACGATTAACACAAAAGTAAGCCAGGTTAGAATTGCTGCAGCTGTATGGGTAGTCCTTGACTTACGAACACAGTTGGGCCCAAAATCTATGTTGTTAAGTGAGACAGCTATTACGTGATTTTTTTCCTCCCATTTTATGGCCTTTCTTGCCAAGTTAAATCAATTACTGTATTTGTTAAGTTAGTATAACTTAAATTAGTAAGTGAATCTGGCTTCCACATTGACTTTTTGAGAGAAGGTCACAAAAAATGATTACATGACTGGGACATTGCAACTGTCACAAATATGAGTCAGTTGCGAAGCGTCTGAATTTTGATCATGTGACTGGGGATGTTTCAGTAATCATAAATGTGAAAACAGTCCTAAGTCGCTTTTTTCATTGTAACTTATTTCTTTGTAACTTTGAACAGTCACTAAATGAATTGTTGTAAAATAAGGACTACCTGTACTGAGGAATTCTGTTTTAATGGAAACCAAGAATATTGTGCCAGAATTTTTGTGTGATAGGAAGAATATGTGAGCCATATCACTCCATAAAACATATCACAGCATTAACCATTTCAGCCAGGGAATGATTATTTGTGTTACACTGTTGTAGGGCTAGGATTTTTTAATAACAGGAATATTATATAAATATTAGAAATATGTAAATATGATCCTCTCTTCCACCAGAAATATTTTTTCAGATTTTCTTACGACTGTTGAGCTTTTCAATGGAAATAAAAGAAGTGTGCTTTGACTATTTAAGTATTGGCATGTATCTTTCAAAAAAGGAGGTTTGTAATGACATGTGCCAAGTTATGCCCACATTCCATGATACTCACAAACATAATGTAACATAAACTTTTGCTAATATTGTACTGTAAAGGGACGTGTAACTAAAATGGCAAAAATTGTATGCAAGACATTGGAATGCTGGAATAGCAAGAGCAATGATTGTTCAATGAAGCAAATGAGGCCTTCATAGTACTGGATTTTGGATCTCAACATTGAGATTACAGAAAATGGTAGGTGTTCAATTTACCATTTATAATAAGACTATACTTAAAGTGAAAAGTACTGTAAATATGGGAATGATGAGACTAGAGTGAAGTTGAATTATTCATTAAAGAAAACCTATCCTGGACCTTGACCCATGACAGTCATGGAAAAAAGTTTACCTCATATAGTTATAACTGCTACTCAGTTTGACAAAATGACACGATAATTAGGACATTGTAAGATAGATGAACTGTGGATGGAATTTTAGGCTGTATTCATGTAAGTGTAAGCAGCTCCACTTTATTCTGCTTTGGTCATACCATTCCTCGAGTAATATGTTTTGGGCATCATATTGGATCAGGTTCTGAGAAGAAAATTTAGAATTACTAGAGGTCTAGAAGAGAGATTGAAGGAGTAGTGCCGGGATGGTGAACCTATGGCACATGTGTCACAGGTGGCACACGGAGCCCTCTCTAACCCTAACCAGCTCAGCTCCACTGCCTCCCACTCGCCAGCTGATTTTGGGGTCTCTGCCGCGTATGCATGCGTGGGAGTGGGTGGTCGTGTGCATGCGTGGGGGGCGAGGGTCACACGGGGTGGTGCCGTTCCCCACGCCCCATTTTTGTTCCCAGGAGGCTTCAGGGAGGCCTAGGCCCAAAACGCGTGGGGAGGGGCGCACGCATGTGGGGGAGTGGGAGGAGAGCGGGGGGGGGGTTGCTTGTGCACGTATTGGATTATGGCTATGCGCACCTTTAGCTCTGAAAATATTGAAGAGGGATAGGTCATTCTTTAAATGTCTAAAAATGTATCCCATAAAAGAAAATTAAGATCCATTTTTTCTCATTCCAAAGTGTAGGAATAATGGTGTAAATTACAGGAAGACAGATTCTGACTGAATGTTAGTGGGGAAATAAACCCTTTCTCAACAGAGAAATTCAAAAGTGATTCAGAGAGGTGATTGTCCCTCTATATTTATGTGTTCAAGTGAAGGCTTTAGAGCTTTTTATTTGAGATGTTTTAATTTGGGTTCTGCAATGAGCAGAGGTTTTGACTCGATGGCCTAAACTGTTCCTTCTGTGAGCATGATACACTGCCTATTTGTTGTATGAAAACGAGGAATGGATCATGCTGAGCCTTGAGCAGTGTGAAACATAATTTTCTTCCTTCTTGTAGAATGAAAAGTACAGCAAGCTGCTTCTTCCCCATGTTACAACATGTACAGACTGCTATGATTTAGAGCTCCTTTGCTGTAGAATAGGAACTGAATGACAAGAGAAGCATTAGTAAAAGCAGGTATCCACATGTGGGGATAAGTGAGGGGAAGACACTTTGTGTTATGACACATTATCTGTTTATTTCATTTCTGTATCTGACACAAGTATGTAATCTGCAGTTTTTACATCATGATCTCACGATGTGCATAGTGTCATGTTGATATCATTGTGGCTTTTAATACATGCTTAAGTTTGTGAGTATATTGGGCCACATTATATGTTAGAATTTAGAAAGTGGATTAGTGATATTTGCCTTTACTTTAAGAAATATGTTCACTTAGTTCAGATGACCATTCATTCATAAACAAGACTG